TGATGATCTTCTCCTCGATCAGTGCCCTCACGCTGACACTCGCAGTCTGAAGAGGTGGGCCGGAATTATCCTTCTTCTCGCACTTTTTGCTATCCGCATCCTACATTCACATAACATTCATTAACACGTTAAGGACGGCGCTTTTCGGGTTGCCTGCCCCCAAAAAATTTTTCTGTGACGCCTATGGACTGAGTAGAAAAGTAGCAAACGGATAACCAGTACATCGACGGTGGTGACCGCTTCTGCGATGGCAACGCCATCCGGCGAGGAAACTAAGACGACGACGACGATGACGACGACGACGTCGACGACGGCGTTGGGAAAGGCGCCGCCTCTGTTTCCGCTGACCGTGCATTCCTCGACTGATCTAGACACGAAGATCACGTCTTTCGTGGTGCCCGCACCGCCTGCACACGACAAAGCCCGCAGACATTCCGACGCAGACGTCTCCTTCACGATGCCCCGAGTCCTGCAGACGCACACGCATCACTACCAGACGCAGCAGCAACAGCAGGAGGCCGCAGACGCTCTGGCCGACCTCATCCTCAACAAGCGAGCGATGGAATCGAATCGTATAGTGAAACGGACGACCTCGGATCCCGGTCAGATCATACAATTCCAGAGCACCGGCGAGTCCACCTTCACCTTGGCGTACCAGTCGGACGATGGAGGATACATCAGTCCGAGTCTGCAGGACGAAGTGTTCACTCAGGTGCAAGATACGATGCTGCTGCAGAGTCACCAGCAGTTGATACAATTCCAAACGGAGACTTTCGATCAGAGCGAAGAGATGGCGTTGGATTACGCGACTTCCGTCGTTCACTCGACCATCCCTTATCAAGCGGGCCAAGTTAATCAGGATCTTCAGGCCGTCTTAGATTCGCCTCTTCCAGAGAGCTTAGCCGAGTTCAGCACTTACCATTCGAGCGGTAGTTTGGAGCTGCCATCTCCGAGCTACCATCACACGCAATCCCCTATACAATACTCGAACTCTCCGCACACTTCGTTACCGACGCAATCACCGCTGCAGTCGCCTCTGATCCGGCACGATTCACCTGGATTCGCGTATCCGACGCCACCGGCGAGTCACGAGGGTCAGAGCCCTTGCTTCGCGCACAACTCGCTGATGCCGATGGTCTCGCCGAAGCACAACGACTTCGTGGAGCCACCGCAAGCGTCGTCACCGCTCTCCGCGGCTTTCTACACCTCCACCATGTCCACCTCGGCGGAAGTCGAGGAAGCGCTCGAAGAAGTCTTACCTGGTGAAAGCATCGCCGCCGACGAATTGTACCCATCCCTAACGAATTCACCGCCGCCGCAATCTCCACTCCTCACACCAGTTCCATCGCCGAACATCCCAACATCAACAGTTCCTTCTCCTCAGACGTTCATCCCTAACGTCTTTCCACAGTACACGCTTCAATCGCAGATGCTTCCCAATTCCGATGATCCGCTTCTTTCGAGCAGTCCGAAAGATTTCAACGCCAAGAAGCGATTCGAGTTCAATGGACTTCCTTTGAAGGTGATCAGCAACGGTTTCATCGACTTCAACAGTCCGAATCTGACGGGTATTCTGGTGGAGACGAACGGAGAGATTAAGTTCATACAAACAGGTCCTACCGCTTTTCATACCAAGAACATCTTATTGACCGGTACACCGATCATCGCACAAAACGCGAAAGTTCTGCAGACCATCGCCATGCCAACAACTGTTAAACAACAACAACAACAACCGGTGCAGATCCAGCAACCGGTGATACAGAGACCTCCGAAGCTGCAGGACCAGGAGCAGGTTTTCCTCAGCCCAACCACGTACGTTCATCAATTCGCGTATAAAGATTCCAAAGATTATCCCAAGAAATATTCTATAGGATTCCACCTGCAAGTCCGGTGAGAGCGTCGAGGAAGAGGCCTCGAGTCGAGCCGCTGCAGCCGGCACATCAGAGCAGGCTGCGGTCGACGCGGAGTCGTCATCATCCGCCTCTGCATCAGCAACAGGAGTGCTCTAGAGCTGCGTACACACCGCAACCGATCCTCAACCCCAGCCGCCCCGGATCAGGTCTCTACTTCTTTTTAAAGCAAAAGTCCAAGAACGGTGTGTTTTCGATGTGTGAAGCGGAGCGCTCGGCGGTGTTTGTGGCCGCGCCGCCACCAACCACCGATCGTTGCGTCATCCGTGCCGCCACTCTTTGCTAAATTAATTCATTCCTTTTTCCTGTTTAGATGACGGCCTCGAGATGGCGCTGGATCGATCAACATGTACGTCGTCGTCGTCGTCGCCGCCGCCACCAGAGACGGACTCGACGCCGCACGTCAACGTCGGGCCGCAGTTCCAGTGCGCGGTGCCACCATTCCGGCCCGTCCGTAATCGCGTCACCCGTGACAGGAGTCACGAGGACCTCCTCTGGGATCCCGGTATAGCCGGCTGCACAGACGCAGAAGGTACAGAAGTACGCAACCAAACGTACAATCGAATATTAATTACGTAATCATCGTTGACAGTTGACATGTACCTGGACTTTGCCTGCTGCGCCGCCGTCCCAGGAGGCGGCAGGAATCACGAGTACGCCATCCACCTGCTGCACATGTGCGCAGGCAACATTCACGTAAGTATAAACCAACAAATTACAATTTTCAAAAGATTATAATTATTTTTAATTGATCACAAACAGGAAGCGATGCTGAAACTGATGCAACCAACGCCATCTCTCCCGTCCGACCATCCACTACTCTGCTACCAATACTCGGAGAGCGATAAATGGACGGCGACGGAAACAGAGATTTTCCATCTGGCGCTTCAGAAGCACGACAAAGACTTCTTCCTGATTTCCAAAGAGGTAGCTAAACTTCTCCTTATTGCTTACATAAATTAAACAAATAACATTTTTATTTGTTTTTTTTTTTTAAATGTAAAGGTTGGCAGCAAAACTGTGAAGCAGTGTGTGCAGTTCTATTACATGTGGAAGAAGGTCTGCACCGACGAGTACAGAAGATTGAAGGCGGGCCGAGAACGTAGGCAACCGCACATCCACAAACACGAATACGACGACGACGTCAAGATGATGGTAAGATTACTCTTGATTCTTATTTATTATTATTAAAAAAAATTTCTTTGTTGTTACAACAGGTGATGGGAGATCATAAAACATTCGTTTGCGAGATCCCCGATTGCTCAGCCGTAAGCCACGCAAAACTCTAATAATTTGTGTTTTTGTCATAATTTAAAATTTTGCAGAGTTTTCATACGCGAGCCGCGATGAACAGCCACGTTCGCACGCATTCGCGCCAATCGCCGACGCCCACGCACATTCATCATCACCATGGCAACAATCACTATCAACAACAACAACAGCAGCAGCAGCAGGTTGCAGAGCGAAAGACGTCGGTGACGTCTTCGACGCATCACAAAACGGTCCTCTGCCACACCGACTCCCACGAAGACTACCCCTGTAAGATATGCGGGAAGTAAGTGCACTCCAACTCCTTCAAATAAGCAGTAAAGTAAAGACACAGACGAAAGGTAAATTTTGCAACTTACGTGTTTCTTGTTTGCTCTATAAGTTTTTATTTTCTGTTTTTTCCTTGTTACCTTATATATTCTTGTATTTCTGCATTACTATATGTTCCGTTCTCTAGTCGCTTCTTAACCTCTTCAATTAAAGTAAACGAAGAAAATTCCAGTGAACGGAATCAATTTTTATCAATATTTGTGTTTCCATGGGAGCGTGAGAGTAGATGAGGTTGCCTATAACATATCGTGCAATACCGCAGCGACACCTATCGCTCCCATCGAACTATTATTTTGAATTATTCTCGTGTCGTCTGTAACGCATGAAATTACCACAAAACGAACACACAACAGCAAAACAACGAACATATCACACACACGTTCCAAAATTTACTCAACTTGCTGTCTCTGTCTATTTCGATTTTATAACTGTGCGCTTTTCTATGTCTTTTCCCTCTTTTTGTTAATTTTTTCCGTGTATTGAATCTTGTTGCGATCCCCACTCTATACGTTTCTGGGCTGTTTTGTGCATGTGCAGAGTATTCACGAAGATCAAGAGTCGCAGCGCGCACATGAAGTCCCACCGTCCACCGGATGCGGAAACGGCGACGACGACGCGCCGCAAGGAGGCGGCGAACCGCACAACCGAACAACCGATGATCGTCTCCTCGTCCACTTCCGTTTCCGCCCTGTCTTCGTCGTCTTCGTCTTCGTCTTCCTTCGACTCCGTGCCGAGTCCATTGGATACCTAGCAACGAAGAAACAACAACAACAACAAACGACGAGCGGGAAGCATCCGGAAAAGACAAGTAGACTCTTCCTACCTATTAGTACTTACCTAACCTCGAAACAACGGAAATTACGTTGTTGTCGTTGTTATTTTTATTCTGTTTCCATCCCCTTCGAAACATTTAATTCCTGCATTTATTTGAATTAAGCGCGCGCAATATAAACAAATATATATAGATATATATATATGAAAACAAAAGAAAAATCAAAACAAACAAAAATTTGATATGAAAATTTAGGGGTTGTGTTGCGTTACTAAACGAAATCAAAATCAAAACAATTCAATCAAAGCAAACAAAAACAAAAAAAAACGTTTTTAATTGATCAAATTTAGTAACGTTAGTGCCTTTCGATTGTCGAGTGAGACACTAAAAAAAAAGAAGAAGATGAAGTATTTAAAAAAAACATAAAATATAATAATATTTAATAATGTGTGTAGAGAGGACATTTTTTGCTCAAGAAAGATTATTGCCACGCAACGTTTCGCTTTTGTCAATTAGAACAAACGAAAACGTGTGCGTTGGATCGAAGTGGTTTAAGTCAAAAAAAAAACAAACGAGAGAAGATGAAGAAGAAAAATTAAAAAAAAAAATAAATAATAATATATCATGTAATATTAGTATTGATGGCCATAAGTAATTAAGTGAAAAGATTAATACGTATTTAAGAGAATTTTTAGCGATAAGCGATAAGGGTTGTGTACTGTACATACTTTGTTTCTTGCATTTTGACAGTTCTGAGACAACTGAAGAAATGAATAATCAAACGGTTGGTACCGCTCATTTTTTTTTTGTTGTTGTTGTTGTGGGGGGTTTTCATTTGAGAGGGTTGGTAATAGAAATCTTAAATGAATAATAATTAATAATTAATCGTAAGGAACTCTGTGTTGTGATCTTTTTAAACAAGAAAAAAAAGTCTATTAACTAATGAAAATATATTGAAGAAATAAAATAATAATAATAATAGTAATAATAATAAAACAAACTATATTATTATCATCAATAATTAAATATATATATATATATATAAATATAAAAAATATACGTGAAATATTTGTACATGTTGAGTATATGTATATGAATCTAGTGAATTTCGTTGCGTTATGTTTCTCTGCGCTCTCTTTTGCGGGGGAAATATTGAATTAATAAAAGGAAAATAAACATTAAAAAAAAAAATGGAAGAAGAATAAGAAGTTGTGAGAAATAAAAATAATATGACAATCCACTTGTTTTACAGACGAGGTTTTAAGAAATATCGAAGAGATACATTAAAAGAAAAATAAACTAAATGACAAAGAATCTAAAATAATTAAGTATAATAAATCGATGTTGTCCGTTCATGTAAAGTGGGAATTAGGGACTTTTTTTTTTTTTTTTTTTTGATACTTAAAAGTTGGTGTTTTCTTTTTCGTGGTGTTTCATTTCGCGCGGGAAATTTTGAATTTCGTCGACGAATCCTATCAATTATTACACGTGAAGTGAAGTAAAAATTAATCGTTGTTGATATATTGAATATATATATATAAATAAATATAAATATACATATTTGTATTAATTAATTAAGTCGGTGTGAAAAGAAAACTAACGCACTAAGTGAATTTTTCAGTTTTTTCAACTTTTGTCTTTGTTGATAGAAATTAAACTAAAGAAAAAAAAATAAAATTACTAAGAGAAATACAAATAAATAAATAAGAAGAAGAAGAAGTAATATTTTCGGCCTAAAGAGATGATGTTGAAACTCTGGTAGTTCAAAGTAGACAGTATGAAAGAAAATAATTGAAACATGCAAAACTTGACACTTCACTCGTGATTTTTTATAAATATACTAATTGTAAGTAAATAAATATAAATAAATATATATATATGATACGTGTATAAAGTAAAAACAATCAAAAATACTTAAGTGTAAATGACGCAAAATGACGATTTCCGGTGTATTTAGTTGGTAGCGCTTTGTATATTTGTAAATAGGCGGAAACGCCGTTCTTTTTTTCTTTTCTTTAATTCTTTTGTTTCCTTCAAACGTTGGTTTGATGCCAACAGCAACAACACAGAAAAAAAAATATTGATAACCATGTGTGTGTAAAATGCATCTTGGTTTGCCTAACTTCGTATGACAACAATAACAATGGCCTAACGTTTCGTTACCTAAGCTTAATGGGTTGCCTACAGAAAACTATTGTTGTTTCCTTTCTACGCTAGGGGGGTTAATAATAATAGACAACTGATAATACAGAGGAGAAAGAGAAAAAGAAAAACGTTTTAATTATTTAAGTACAAATGAAGAATAAAAACGACTTAAAAGTATATAAATATATATTTTAAGGAAACTTTTGATCGAGTACAAAGATACCAACTGTTGTTTTCTTTTTGAAATTTTTTTTTGTTGTCGTTTAATTTTTGTGCCAAAAAAAAAATAATTGCTCAATACGTGAACGAATTGTTTCCATTATTTTAGAGGTTATATTTACATATACAACAACAAAAAAATTAAAAACAATCGACATTATTTTTTTTTTTCATTATCAATACTATCTACTGATAATAATAATACTAATTTAATACATTTCTTGCTCAAAAAAAAATGAAAAACTTTCTCAATCTAATTGATTTATTTGAAATTCGTGTGCCAATAAATAAAAATATGTATAATTCTATATATTATATATATACACACACACTGTTCTTGCTCAAAGGTAATTATAAATAGAAATGTGCGTTTTGTTAGAGAGAAACCGCGACACCCCCTTTCCTTCGATTGCTCACTAAGTCTAATCAACTTACCTAAGTTAAGTTCGTTTAAGTAGGATTCCGATTGGTTGTGAATCCGCCTAGGCAACCCAACTTACTCCACCTCGACGGTTAGACTTGAGACGTATAAAAGACATTCTTCCCAAACAAAATTAAGTAATATGAAATACAAAAAAAAAACAAACTTCGTTAACTATTTTATAAATAAAATGCAATAATTCCATCTTTAATCCCAATAAAATGCTTGCATATTTAGTTTGTTGATTCGTGCGCCATCTATTTGCCGTTCACACACTAAACTCCTTGATCGAGTAAACAAAAATTTGCGAACGCTTTGCGGATTTCAGTTTATCTATTGACGCGCCATCTATCAGCCACATGCAAACTGAATTCACCAATTACAAACAAATCTCTGGGGTTGTGTTATTAAATTGTTGATAATATAGTTCAATGTGTGTGTTAAAAGAAAAATAAGCGACCAATCACCGGATAGCGTTTCTTTTCAATTGTTTTATCGCATTGTATATAAGAACGATTATTTATTGTTTTGTACATATATATATATATACCAAAAAATCTAACCTATAAATTTTTCGTTGGTTTTTTGTTTCCTCTTTCGCGGGGTTAAAAAAAATAGTAACAGCAGAAGAAACAATTGCGAGCCAGTCAACGGTTTCCAGGACAACGAATCAAAAGTTAACCAAAAAAAGAAAACAATCCTAAGAGAATCCCCATATATTCTACTTCAATTATTTTTTTTGTTTGATATAACTGTATATCACTTGATAGGAATTTAGAGATTAGTGAAAGCGCACATCTTGAGATATTGATGCACTTAGGTTTTAGCGGTTTTGATCGATGTTAGGCGGTGATTGGCGCGAAATTTAAATTTTCAAAATGAATACGAACCGTAGTGGGCTGTACCTGAGAATCATTGGGTATTGTGTAATTTCCGGCGTCTGTTTACTGATTTCGTTCACATGGCAACACTAGAAACAATCGAAAGAGAACAATGAACAATCAGCACGTATATCCAAATTCGAAATCAAAAAACAAGAATAAATAATAAATTTTTAATAAAAAAAAAACTAATAAAAAATAAACAAATATTAATAACAAAAAAAACAATGGTTGTGATTAGCTCAAAAACAAATGCGATTAGATTTATTATTTTTTTTTGTTCTATTTACAAAATCTTAATAATGATAGTTAATCAATTTTGTTTTTTATTTGCAAGTGTTTTTTCTTTGAATAACGATGGTTGTGATTTTATTGTAAAATTTAGTTGTCATGGTAACTTTCATTTGACAGTGAATGGAACCGGAAACGACTGCGCCACGGAAACTGCCATTTTTTATTTTATTATTATTATTTTTTCCATTGTGAAGTGCTTTTTGTATCGAAAACTTTCCAAAAACGCCATCTATGAGCCATGTAGGAAGTAAACTTTTTTTTGTTTTTTTGAATTAGGTTATTTCTTCTGCTTAACAACAAAATGTCCAAAAGAAAAGAACATAACAAAATTCAGATCTAAATACAAATTTTTAATCTAATGTCAATATACTGAGTAAAAAATGAATAAATAAATTATATATATATGTAAAGATAAATAACAAATGAAGATAAATAAATGAACGAGGATGTGGTTTAAAAAAAATGTAAAAAAAAACAAATGATAGCTCAAATCTTTTTTATATCTTATATAAATATAAAGTATATTTTCGAATAAAAAGAAAGAAAAACAAACGAAAAGTGAAAAAAACAATTATAAACAAAATTTTAAGCACACACTTTTTAGGAAAATTTCTCGCGCGCACACTTGATGATGATGATGATGTAACATTCTGAGTCTCTCGATTTGATATAAACGATATATACAAACACACACACACATGTAAATATATGATGATGAGTTGGCGACGTTTCTGGTTATTTTGGGGACTTTCCGTTTTCTTAGGTTCGTCACCTGATTTTATAAATAAATAAATAAATGTATTTGTTACCCGCACAATTCAAGCCACCCCCCTCCACAATTAAGTGTGTTTTTTCCTTCCTCTTGTTACATGTATAGGTTATGTTTTTTTTTAAACGCGAACGAAGGCCCGGCGACTTTCCACGACTTTCCCCGACATTCTCATATGTGGATTTGTATAAGAGAATGTAAAGTTGCCTAAGACAAGAAGAGAGAGAGAGTAAAGTTGCATAAGCGAGAGAGTAAAGTTGCATAAGCGAGAGAGTAAAGTATAATGAAAAGACAATCCCCGAAGACGTTGAGTGAAGAAATGTTGTTTTTCCCCCGCGCGAGCGTTTCTTGTTTTCGCGGAAGTTCGCCGGGTCCGACGTCTTCGCTTAACCCTTAACAAAGAAATAAAATATAATATTAAAATTTAGGGATTTTATCGTTTCATTTGTGGTAATTAATAAATAAAAATATATATATATATTATATAAATAAATGAATGAATATGTTATATTACTTCTATATATATAGATATACGGAGATATATGTATGTATGAAGAAACGAAATATGTGTATAAAAAGTAAGAGATGTTGTTGTTAATTTATTATTATTATTACTTGAGAAATGTCATTTACATGACACTCGAGATTCGCTGTAAGAGGTGAATGCGTGTTTCTTTTGTTTCTTCGTTTCCAAGCCTCCCCCCCTCCCTCCTGTATAAAGTTTTAGGCTATGCAACCCTGTTAATTGATTAATTGTTAAGTGTTTTGTTTGACTGTTTTTACTCCTTTAAATTTACTTTTCACTTTCGTTTCTCCATCTCGATTTCATCATTTTTTTTCCTGTTGTTTTTATTATTCATTTCGCGGATACTACGACGAGATGCAAATATTTGTTGTTAAATTCTGTCCAGTATGTATGTATATTGTCAAATATATATATATAAAAATGTATGTATGTAACAAAAAAATAAATAAATAAATAATAAAATGTGAAAAAAAAATAATCTTGAATGAATGATTTTGTTTTTTGTTTTGTTTAGTTTTCTTTTTTTTTCAATTTTTCTTGTTTTGGAGCGAGGTGTACTTTGTATATGTAAATAGTAATAATAATAATAATAAAAGAAAACTTGTATTATTGTATCCGCAATAAAATATGGCGTTGTAAAAAAAAACACGTAACCTTGGTGATGATTTTCTTTTGTCTGTTTGCTTTGTTTTGATGGCGTCTGCATTTTTTCAAAATGGACGTGCAAGTGTGACGTTTCTGCAGGTTGTGTCAAATTTTTAAATCGAAGCAAAATTGAAGAGTTCAAGCTTTGTTTAGCATAAAGGTAAGTTTATTGAATTTGTCTAATAATAATAAGTATTGTTTTGCGCAATCAAAGTAAAATTAACAGTTAGTTTGTAAGTGAACCAAAACAACCAACATAAAGTAGAGACGGTTACATAATTCGTTGGTATATAGTGTTGCCTATATTACATAATAAAGGAAACTGCATATAGAGCAAAACGTGAAAACAGAAAGAGCCCACTGAAACGATTCTTTCAGAGCTTCTGAAAATTACTGAAAATGTTCTCTAATTGCCATTGTATCTTGTAAAAAAAAACTCCAAACTCGGGCATTTATAAAATTTATTTAACTTTTTTTTTATATTGAAATTAGTGCAATGAATCAGCGCTTCATATACAAAAATAAAAGTTTGAAAAAGTTGTATATTTTTGGAGTTATGTAGAAAAAAATCTCATAACTCGTCCATTTGTAAACTTTATCTAACTTTTTTTTATATTTAAACTTGTGCAATGAATCAGCATTTCATATATAAAGTTTGAAAAAGTTTAACACTTCGGTTGTCGAGTTTTAGAGATAAACGATAGACATTGTTATTCAACTTTGATTATAGATTACAAGAAAATGGTAACTGTTAACATTCTCGCATTAAGCGCATATTAAAGCCTGATTATCTGAGATTAATTTGACTACTCAAACTTATAATTAGCGTGAGCGGTTATCGAGTTATAGAGCAAAAGGTGCAGACACAAAATCTAAACCCGGCGCGTCCACCACAAAATTATTTATTAACCATTACTACTCTGTATATTCGAGGGTGGCGATGATAGCATCGTTCATGGCCTCCCTGAATCTCGTGCGCATTGTTACTGCGGCCCTCGAACGCCAAAACCGAACCCTCCTTCGCAGTTTCACGAAGAACACAATGTTCTTGCAATTCCTCTTCTTGCGTTTCTTCTCTTGTCCGTTGTACAGAACCTCGAGACCCAAAACGAAAGCTGCACAAGGGTAGATAAAAATTAGTATATTTGAATCGTATTGGTGACAAAAAGTCCTTTCGGACGGGCAGGTCCCACCGAGATTTGAACTCGGATCGCTGGATTCAGAGTCCAGAGTGCTAACCATTACACCATGGGACCTCTTATGTATTATCCTTCGAAACAGGTACAACCAACAGCAAAGCAAAACATCCCCTATTTTTACTATCAATATCTATTAATTAGTCTATTAGTAATTATTAAGATGTCATTTTTGTTTACGTGATATTTTCATTAAGATTGTTCATGATATTTTTTCTTTTGTTTTTTTATAAATGTCAATTTTAAATGTCAGTGTCAAATGTCAAATGCCTACCGGAAACGGTGTGTCCAATGCAAAGCAGATAGAAAGCACCTTGCAACATGCGTATATTGATCGGTTGCAGTTTTTCGTTATCCTCGTTGGCCTTCGCAGCCTTCCGGTTTTCCTTTAGATTAGTTGGTAACAATGATTCTTGTATATCGATTTGTACGTTGGCGCCACCGTCGACTTCCGGTTTCCGGTCGTACGATTTACTTTGCTCCTTTCCGAACGTCTCGTACTCGTCTTCGGTCATCTTCGTCAGAATCCCCGCCTCGAAGATTCCCATCAAGCTACGAAATGTACACCAACAGATGGCGTATTAAATATTGTTTACTTTAAACTCAATGAAACTCGTACATTTTATTGAAATTCTCTTTGTACGGACATCCTTGCTGGAGGGCGATCGCCGAGTAAGCTGTATTCAATTTTTCGCTTAAATGAAAATTTTGAGGACCTTCAAAAAGAAAATTAATTATGTTGTGAAATATTTCTTCGATTTACCGAATCTTTGGATGTCGAAGAACAGTGTTTCTCTACCGGCCATCACAGCCACGTTGGATAATTCTTTAACGAGCATAACACCTTTTTCCACTGAATCCACAAAGAAATCACCCTTAAGAGGTTCGTTCATTAATTTCCAAAGTCTTTCATAAATCCCGGTTCCATTCTAATAGAAACATGATAATTTGTTAAGTTTTAGTATATTTTTTAGGTTATTTACCTCAAGTAAACTGTAACTGGAACTATGCTTTTCCACCATCAATTTGTAACTCTTCATTAGCATAGCCTCCTCCAGTTGGCGCAAATCGTTTATGGCTCTTTCTGTAAATGAAGTTGCATAATTCGCTACGTTTATATTCGTTGGAAATTATACCTCTTCCAGGTCTTGCGAGCAAAGAAGTGAGGTTGGCTGCATACATGTCACCTATAACGTAGGTGGACGATATTGCCAACAGTATAATGAAGAAACGACACTTGTGGCTGTCCCCAGGTTCCTTTCCGGCTGTCCGATAAATTAGTTTGACAAATTGAAAATATTAGTATATTTTATGCAACCAACTTTGCTTTAAGAAAATCCCGGTGGTGTACCAAGAGCAATCGAACAGAAACCGCACGTGATCTCTGACAATAAACGTGGGATACCACAGGTTGGGAACCACTTTGATCACGTACAAAGCGGGACCGGCTATTAGAACTGTCACAATGATGGCTGGCCAAACCTGCAAGGAATCAAATTTAGTAACTTTTATTGTTGAGATTGGTAACATTGTTTGATTTTGTTATAACCTCCCATTGGAATGGTCTGATCAGTGCCAACGCCTCGTTCAATCTGCTCGGCGCATGCGTGACGAATGCTCCGCTGTCAGCTAACGTCAAAAAGGTAAAATCCACGACCTTGAATCGTTCGTGCGTCAAAGCGAAATCTCCAATAAAGAATTCCGCTTCCTGAAAATAATTTTATACATCAAAAAAAAAACGTATTTACTTCATATACTAACCCGTTCCCATAGCAACCCAAGAATCCCATCGAAAGTCCCGTTCGCATTGAAAGACGTGCCTTGTATACGTTCCGGCGGATCGAAATATTCGAAACGAAAGTTCAATCTTTCTGCCAGAAGCTTCAACAATTTATCGTCTCTTCCGCCTTGCACGTGAAAACTGTTGTTCGTGTAAAGCACAAAGTGCCAAGGTGGCTTCTGAAATAAAAATTTAGACTTTATAAACGTCAACAAAAAAAATTGACAACTTAAACGTCAAAAATAATGATATTTTGAAAATGACGTTTGAAACGTCATTTTTTTGAGTATCCGTACGTGAATGACTGGGACGTAGATTAATCGACCGTTGAAGTTCTTGAAAACGTTGACGGTTTTCGGAAGGGTCGGATGATGGAACAAACCTTTACCCTCGATCCACCAGTTGTACATGTCTAAGTGATGTATCTTATGCGACGTTGCCTGATTGTAGTATAACCTATAACTGTTAGAGACCTTGAATGTAATTAGTAACTAGAAATGATGTAATAATATTACGCGCCATCTCGTGGATTGGTAATCACCACGATCTTCATGTTTCGATGCATCGCCCGCTGAAAATACCTGTACATCTTTTTGTCCCCCCAATAGAACATAAAAACGAGATTGTTCCTCACCAGATGGCTGTCGTAAAGCTAAAAAACTGAAAATGGTATAGGCAACTTTAGTTACTTCAAAGCTTACCAACCTCAAGCAGGATGTGCTCTGCCATCTTGTGATTGCAAAAGTACAGAGTGTGCAAATCATAGTTACCGCTCACAATATTCGCAAGATAATTGAAATACTACGAAACAACAACAAAATTATAATTTAAAATGTTTCGATTATTTAAATTTCTTGTGTATACTTCATCTAAACCTTCGATTGTGGTTATATTATGCAACGAAATGCTTATATCATTCTCAAGTAGATGTTGGCTCAGATGACCAACGAATAAATCATCTGGAACGCAACGGAATTAACGTTAAGGTGAATGGAGTTGCCTAACTCAAACCTGTCGCGTTATCGAAAACAATTGATAAATGCGTTGTGGGAAATCCGTGGGTTATGTCGTAGATGGCGCGATGCAAATTTCCGCCGTATTCCTTCTGCAATCTACTCTTATTATCTTGAAATTAATGAAAACAATTAGTGTGAATTAACAATTCGTTTAACACTCACAAGATTCGATATGCGGAAAAGCAATAACCTTAGTAAAAAGACAATTTGATACGAATATAAGAAAGTATTTCATCATTGTGAAATGATGTGTTTCGAGGAAAACGTTCTTATTTTATACGTAATTATTGTTTGTGACATTGATGCGTTGTGGTATTTCATGTCATGGCGATTCTTCATTTATTTTTAATCAACGCTGACTTTGATTTATGAAAGGTTCAGAATAAATGATCAATTTTCAAACGATTTTATTATTATCATCTTCCGTAGCCATAGCGAGTCTTTCCCTGAGCTGTCTTCTCATTGTTTTCCCCGTGGAGTTCTTCGGTAAGGCTTCGACGAAATGAACTTCGTGCAGTTGTTTCTCGCGACTCAATCGATCTGTAATGCAAAACAAAACAAAAAAATCACAATTTTTAATGATGAAACTTTCAGAATTTGCAAACCGGAAATGAATTTTTTAACTTCATCTTCTGTCATTTCGGATCCGGGTCTGAGGACGATGAAAGCCACCGGATTCTCACCGGTTCGTCTGTTTGGTTTTCCGACGACTCCGGCGTCGTGTATTTCCGGGTTGGATTTGAGAAGATCTTCGAGTTCCGCCGGTGGAACCTGTATGCAACACACCGTACGCACGTGATGATGTAATAAAGAACGTTTGACAGGTAACTCACTTGGAAACCTTTGTGCTTGATCAGGTCTTTCAGACGATCGATGACGTAGAAGTAACCTTCGTTGTCGCAGTAGCCCAGATCTCCGGTGTGCAGGAAACCTTCATCATCGATTATATCGTCGGTCGCAGTTTTATTGTGAAGATAACCTTTCATGACGGCCGGACTTTTGAAGCAAATCTCGCCCAAAGTGTAAGATCCGATCGTTTCCGGAACTTCCGTTTTCACCGGACTGATTTTGGCGACGATGCCCGGCACCACCTTACCCACGGCGCCAATCTTTGACGTTCCGGTGACAGGTGTCAAAGTGGTGATTCCGGTCACTTCCGTCAAACCGTACATCTGTCTAACCTTGACGTTTAACCTTTTTGACAGGACGTTTTGGATTTCCGTAGCGAGAGGCGCCGCTCCGCAGACGACGTCGTCGACACTATCCAATTTGAAGTCGGCGACTAGGGGTGATTGCACCAGGAAATCGGCAATTGGAGGCACCATCACCAGAAGCGTAGCGCGATGATCATCGATCAATTCCAAATACTTTTTACCGTGAAACTTGGGCATTATCACCGAAACCATCCCAGAAATCATCGTCAACAGAGATACAATAGTACCCGAAATATGATAGAACGGACAGAAAGATACGGTCGTGTCTTTGGGGGTTTTGTACAAGCAATTGGGATGCCTATTTGAAAAAAAGAGAAACGTCAATCAATCAACTGACAATTTAAACGTCATTATTACCAAGCGTTGCCAAGGATTGTGGTCAGGTTTCGGTACGTCAATTCAACGCTCTTGGGAAGACCGGAAGTTCCGGAAGAGTTCATGATCATGGCCACCTGCGATTCCATGTCCACCTCCAACGGTTCGAACGCTTCGTCGATAACCTCAGCATCGACGAGTGCGTCCAAATAGAAGAAATCATTTTGCGCTTCCGGTTTTCCGGTTTTCACCACATTCTCGACGAAATCGAACTGCCGTTTCGTCTCCAACGCTCTCACCAAAGAAAGATCGCTGGCGAAGATCAGACGCGGTTTGCTACGCGTAATCAAATTCTCCAACTCGTCTGAAAAAAATAAAATAAAATTGATAATATTATCTAAAATTCTAGTGCACTTATCAATACCAGAGATATTAATTTGGTAATTAAGTCAACTTACAGGATGTGCTGTTCGGGTTGAACAAGTGAACGGCGATTCCGCTGAAAAGACAACCTAAAACGATCGTCCAAAAATCGCTCGTGTTTTCCAGCAGAAGAGCGACGACGTCGTCCAATTTGTAATGGAATTTGCGTTCCAAGATCTGAGAGATTTTTATCGATTTCTCGAGAAGGCCTTGAAACGTCAAAACGTTACCGGTTTCGGAATCGATCTGAAAACAATGAAACAATTGATCGAAATGTACTTCTACCAACTTCGTAAAATGACAATGAAATAACAAATATGAAAACCGTTATAGTTTCTATGGAAATGAGTATAAGTAATATTTAAAAAATAAACAAAAGAAAAACGTACAAACGCTGTTTGATCTTTGAATTTTCTGCAATTCTTGACGATGACATCGACGATGTTCTCCTTGCTACAGTCGATCGCCGCATCCGTGGAATAAATGTAACTCATTTTCTTATTATTTTCTTTCTTCTTACAATTAATCTTAACTTAAAAACTCATCGAAGATGAATGAACATAATTTCTTCGATCGTGCAGATTTATCGCCCGTCCTGAGGCTGTGCGATAAATCCAAATCCGTCTTCGATTAAGTCCAATTGCAACACGTAATCTGCATGACTCTTTTTTGGAAGGTCACGCACTCTTCGATTATTATCATGCAAAAAAAAATAAACAAAAAACAATTGCAAGTGCTTTTTTTTTCGATGAGATAACGCAGTTTTGAGAAAAAAAATAAAATTACAAGAAAAAAAAAACAAAAACAAAGTAATTAGTTTTAATTGAAAGTGTAAATAAGAGTGATGATAAATTAGGATGAAAGAAAGTTTTAGAAATTCGCATCCGAGAAGAAGTAAAGCGCGCTTCGCAGGAGAGAAAACAAGAAAAAAATGCTGTTTAATTGGAGTCGCTTATGCGGTAAATTAAAGGTGAATTAACGTTTCGCTAAATTACATTAATCATTTTTTTTTTTAGAGTATATTGGGTTGCCTATTGTTGTTGTTTTTTTTGTAAATTTTAGTTTTGTTTCAGGGAATTGCGTAGATCGGGTAATATGAAGAATATGAAGGAATATTAAGTAATTAAAATAAATTTGACAAATCAATAAGAATAGTAATAAAATGATTACATTTTTGGGTCACAAATTTTTTGATCTCCGGGTCAAGTGTGCCGTATCGGTATAAGTAACAAACAATGGACAAACTGCTCCAGTTTCGTGGATGGATGACGATCGCAGTTGGCCGTGAAAAGTTTTATTTGTTTTCTATATTTAGTTTCGTTTATTTTTTCTCTTTTCTTTTTTGATGCGACAAAAATATTATTTTTAAATTTGAACGCGAATTACAGCCAAACCGAAAAAAATAATTTAAAATTAATAAAGAACTTTTGTTTCTATTTGATTCATTCTATCTTTTACAGTTTCTGAGAATATCAATAAAATGTAAAAACACTGCTTTTTTGAACTTTTTCTCAAGTTTAAACACTAATTACAGCCAAACCGATTAAACCACAAGAATATATGAATACTTGTTACATTCCCCAAACATTCAGCTTTCATATGCATCTTTAGGATCC